GAGGTCAGGTTTGTATGAAAAAAATCAACGAAAATCTCACAGTAATAATTGATGCAAAATCTGCTATTCAGCCTGCGTTCTTCCGTAATTTTCAGTGAATACATCTTCGGTGTGTTTGACCGTGAAGTTATGAGGTTATTCATCGTGCTATTAAGGAATCCGGCATATCAATAGAGTATTGAACGAAGCTTGGTGTATGTTATGATATCGTCAAATTTTTTGAACTTTATCGAAGTATCTCTTTTAAAATTTCACTAGTCATTTTTATTTTGAACTGCACTCAACAAAGACGCATTCGATTGGGCGGAAAATTGTTACATTTTGAGAGTGTGCTTCGCATTTGAATGCTAATCATACAGGAACATTCCTCAAGACTACTGGTTAGAATAAATGAAAACATTTGCTTACAGTCCAGAGATTTATTGATCCGGAAGATCCTTATTATTAGTTGATCTTGTTTCTGGGGACGTCGTTTTGCATCACGACATAGCTGTCGGTGGGTTCACTAAAGATGAGTATGGTGGAGGCACTGAAATGTTGGAGTTAGCAGCCGTGATTCCAGAGAGTCGCTGAAGTGAGTGTGATGCGTCCGAATTGGGTTGACTGATTGTAGAATGTGGTGGAATTGTTAGTGATGAGGTTTGATAGGCCGGATGTAAGATGAGATCAGGTGAAAATGTTGTACTCGCCGGAAAAGCGCTTCCTAGAAGTTAGCGCCACAGTTAACATTACGTTAAACTGCAAAAGAATCTCATTTACGTTATTTAATGTTGCCTAATAGGTCAGGCAACGTTGCAGTTTTCCTACGAAGCGGCTAAAAATATCAATCAGTGAGCGAACAAAACCAACCTTGTCTTCCGAAGGGCTCGGCGGAGACAGTGACTATATGACCGTCATGCCCTCGAGTTCCAAACACTCTTCGCTCAAAACAACGCCTGAATTGTTCAAAAATGTGAGTACTTCAAAAGTATAACAAGTTTATTTCACTCATCGCAACTGTCAGTTCAGATTCTTTTTTCATGTAGACTCGTTCATTTTGATTAGATTGATAGCGGTTTCACGCTTCGTTCATCGAAACAAACTTGCTGGTCGTAGAATTTCTTACCACAGCGCTGTTTCTGAGCATATTCAGCTACTTGTGTATCGTTTGATTGAACATCACTAACGTTTGAGATAGGTTTTGCGGAAAGATTCTCGACAAAATTCTCTCAGAGATTTGAGTTGATAAAAATATCTGTCCTTCTACTTTAATTATTCAATCATTCTCGAATTATCACGTCAAAATGCACACTCACTCACCGTAACATTGGACATCCAACGATTAAAAGAGTGCCCACTAAAATGACTCCAAATAAAATTACTAAATAGTTGAGAGTGAACGTGGGAGCTGGTTTCTCGAATAACATTGAACAAAATCGAGGACCGATCAGCACACAGCTGCGAGTGAATCAATCGGCTGAACTGGGTGTCTGGTGAGGGCGTCGCAGAGAATTCCTTACTGAACACGGTCGATCGTGATGATTTCTATTGGATGTTAGCCATAGCAGACTGAATATTACGGAGATAATGATATGTGAAATCAATCGTTGGTC